CCCACCAGCCCCCGAGGCAAAGTGCAGAGCCACCCCTGGAGCAGGGTCCTGGGACACGGCAGCTCCAGGGCATCCATCACTCTGCAGGGCGGTGGAGCTGCCAGCTGCAGGTCCTGAGCCCTGAAACATGTCTGCCCGGGATCCAGTGCACAGCAAGGATGGAGACAAGAAACCATCCCCATGCTTGCAGCTCCCAACCACTCCCTTAATATTCATTGACAAAGGTGTTGATCCCGCAAGCCAACCCAACGGGTGCTCAGCTGCCACCAGGGATTTCTGCTCCTGCAGCATTTCCCTTGTACATTAATTGCGTCTACCCCAGCTCTGTTACAGCTGCCAATTAGATAATATGAACCAAATGGAGTAAAAATTAGAAAGCACAGGTCTGTAATTAAAACTTCATGGAAAACCAAACACACATGCAACAGAGAAAGCGTTGAGGTGAAGATAGAGGAGGAGGAGGAACAGCTCACAGCAGATTTGTATGGGGCAGCACAGTGCCAGTACTTCAGCATGTCCCTCACGTACTTTCAAAGCCTTCAATCAATTTTAAAATTCCAGAAATGATCTCTTTCTTTCTCCCTAAGCAGCAACTGTGTGGGCATCCTGAACAGAAGCAGCAATCAAGCCTGAGAAATGGCCTCCTGCCTTCCTGCTTAAAGCCAAAACCAATGTGAATATCACCTACCAGCTCTGTCCCTCTTAACAAAGTCACTACCTTGACCCTGAATAGCTACTGAAAGAGCATTTTACTTTGAGTTATTATTGCCTGGTTAGTGAAGGAATTATGAATATTGCTGACCTGAACATTTTCATCAAAACTGATTTTTTTTTCCATGATACTGCATCCATTTCTAATTAGAATCTCTGCAGAAAACTATTTTTGGTGAAGAATGTCTGCGTTTCACACAGAAAATCCATTGTTTCCTTTAAATTCTGAAATATGCTTTAGGGTTTTATTCCGTGCTTTTCTTATGACACTTAGTTATACCAACAGCACTATTATAAATTATACCCAGCTTTTTCATTACACACCAACCAGACAACACTTTGATCTATAAGAAAATGCATCTCAAACAGTATCAAACAGAAGCTGCACTTAGTTTTCTTACCAGCAAAATAACAAAACCACATGAAATATTATTGGGCAGTACAATTCATTGCATCTACAACCACCCCGTGATTAAGGCAGTACAACACAGAAGCACCTCCTGCATCCCTCCAAGACCTTTCATCCAACATCTCAGCATTACTCACGCTCAGGATTGCTGTGCTCCAGCACGGGTCACCACTAGGAACTACTGACCTCCGTTGAGTGTTAAGCACCCAGCCAGCAAGAAGGATGCTCCAGGCAAGCATAAAAGCCGTGGTTTCCATTTAGATGCACACTTCCCCTTCCTCTGGTCAGGAAAGCAAGATCTCTCTTCCCACACAATGTTGTGTGACTCTGAACAAGGCCTCCCGGGGGGCTGACACAGCAGAAAGGTTTTATTTTTCCTCCAGGCTTCTGAAGATCCAAGGAGAAATTTCTTCTCCTACGCCCAGGTCACAAACCTGCTGCTGCAACAAGGCAGAGGAAAAGGAGCTCTGGGTTTGATATTTTTTTTTTTCCCTTTCATTTTGCTGGAAGCCAAGGAAAACAGATTTAAATCAAATTAAAATTAATAACCTCGAGAAACAGAGAGAGCCATGCTCAAGCCTAATTGCAGCAAAAGCTTCCAGAAGTGGAGGGGAAGCTCTGTGTAGAGAGCATCAAAGCAATTGAAATGGCACTTCAAAAATAAACTTTCCTAAGCACCAGGCCCGCATGCTCAACTGAGAGCACCCAAGCTGGAGCACCCTCCTGCTCCAAGAGCCTCATCTTTTCACCCCTGTTCAGCTCCACCCCTACCCTGTAGACACCTTCCTCCAAAACCAAGAAAAGGCTCCATGACCTTCAATTTAAAGGCCAGGGGTGCAAAGTGGTCACAGCTGCCCCGCTGGAGGTGGAGCAAGCGGGAAGTGCCCAGGGTACCTGGGTGTTTCCCAAAACTTGTGTTGGAGGCTGCTGCCTCCCCAGCTAGCAGGTGCTGCTGTGGCTGTAGTGCTGCTAGTCCTAGGCAAAAGCAATGCTATTTTAGGACAGCACTGCACATTGCAGTATAGATATACCCTTCATTTGCCCCTCGACACAGGGTGCCCTGGCAGGGTGAGGATCAGGAGTGCTGGTGGCTCCGGGCTCACTGTGTTGGGCAAGGGCAGCCTGGCTGTGGGCCCCCTTTCTCCCCAGCGCCCACTTGAACGAAGCCCACTACCTTCTCCTGGAGGTGAAAAGAAAGTGGCCTTGGGCATAAAAAAAAAAGTTTCTCTCCTTTTTTAGCATCTCCTGGCTTTTTGGCCCCCATCCATGCAGCAGGCGGCAGATGGCTCTGAGCTCTGTTCTGAGCAAGGTTTTGGACTTTCTCCAGCTCACCTCTGAAACCTGGTCTCAGAGCTGTATCTGACCTCCTTTCCAGAAAACCCCCACCTTCTGGGAACCTGGGACTTCTCCAGATGTCCCCAGGCTAGAGAAGCTCAGCTCTGTCACCTGCAGAGTCACAGGGGGAACCTTACCACCTCACACCCATCCCATTACGGTGCAGGGATGCTTGGCCAGACGCTGGGGGTTGTGGCCCCAGGACGGAAAGCATGGCCACAGCAGACACAATGCTGCCCTCCTCCCTCGGGGCTGGGGCTGTGGGTGACAGCCTGGCTCTGGGTCAGGAGCCAGCTTGGGGACATTTGCAGCAGGGCTGTCGGTACCACTGACCTTCCTGCCTGTCCAAGAAAGGAGCCCAATTTCCACTTGTTGGCAGCAATTGCAGAGTCAGGTTGGCTCTCTGGGAGAGGAACTCATTGCCCATGTACAGGACTAGCCTTTGCCCTGCACAAAGCTAGCAAAAAGCACTATGGATTTAACAGTTTCTAATAAGTATTCCTGCACCCAGAAAGCCTTGATGCTGTGGTCCTTCCTGACTGCAAAATGTCTTGCATCAAGGTCAAAACTAGTAATATACTGCCCCGATGCCTCCACCAGCTCTTGTCAATAGAGATTTTTTCCAGGCTTTTCAGAAGAGCATCCTTCCTTTTGGCACACCAAAACCCTTCCATGGGGCTGTGGCACCATGGGAAAGCCGCAGTGTGCCGCTACCACAGCTTAGCATCAAGGAGGCCTGCGCGAGAGGCAGAGAAAGGAGAATGGGATTGCTGATGGCCAGCATGGGGGTGGATGTCCTCTCTGTGGGTGCACCCCTCTCCTCAGACGTTGCGTTTCCAACACATAAGATACGGCAAGGTGGGGCATGGATGTTGCTTCTGCAGAGAAATTTCTCCACTGGATAAATGCTTTCTGTGTCCTCCTGCTGCTGCCAGGAGTAAAGCCAGGCTGTGTTCAGAGGAACCACATGAGTTATGTCTAAATCCAAGAGGGAAGGTGTCAGCTTGTGGTTGTCCTTTGAGGTCAAAAGAGAGTACAAAGCATCCTATAAATTGACATTAAATAAATATCTGCCTATTAGTTCAGCTCCAAGTTTCCACGAGAGCCTGAAGGGGAAATAGCTTTTCCTTGATAAACAATGAGCTACAGTTTTCCTGGCCAGGTCATCCCTCCTGGTGATAGTGGAATGTCTTAGGCTAAAAATTTAAATTGATTTGGATCAATTGGATGATCCTCCAAGTATCATTCTTTAAAGGGACTATTATTATTGCACACTGGAAGAGAGCCCGTTTCAGTGAACATGCCCCGTTAGCAGTGATTTATCTGTACTGCCACATTTTTTCATTAATCTTCATTTCAAATTCATTTGTCTCTCCTGCGTGGCCAAGAGGTTCACATTACCAATCTGCACCAGGTGCTTCCCAGGATGACATCAAATACCTACATGGCCCACACCAGCAAAATTACCCAGCAGACCTCAGGAGGAGCAACGGGGCAGCGACAGGAAAGCAGCAGCCTACGCTCATCCTGCTGTCACTGCACGAGGCCGGCAGCCTCATCAGGCTCTTCACTTTGAGGACCAAGCAAATATTTAACAAGTTCCCCTTGCACTGTACCAGAGTTCATTATCCGGTCTCCTGAGCTCCTTCAGTCAGTGATATCCTCTAATTGATGTGATTTGGCACTTGGCCATAGAGTTAAATTGATTTGTAGACCAGCGGGAGACGGCAGATGCCCTTTACACTTGAGAAAAGTGGCATGTGGCTTTGTTTACTGCCTGCTGCAAGGGGATGGCACAGCAAGAGATGCCTTTCAGGAGTGCAGGAAGGGGGTCTGCCTCCTCGGTGTCCTCTTACCGCAGCCCCTGCTAGGTGACAACGTGTGACTTCCACCAGCGAGCACCTGGGGATCATTCCGGCCATGAAGCTCACCCTCCCTCCCTAACCCCAGGGAAGCGGGGATGAGAGAAATGAGGTATTCCCTTCTCTGAAACCAGGGCAAGATGCACGAGGTATCTCCATGCTCTCTTTTGAGGGGTGCCCCAATGCAGACTCCCAGCTCAGGGCTGGCGTTGATCTTTGTTCTGGGGCACGGAGAGTTGCCTCTGCTTGGGGAAGGGCAGGAGGAGTAGGGACAACCTGCCTGCTCCGGGGCAAGGGGAGGGCGGCAGCTGTAGGTTGCAACCTGCTGGGGTTTATTTCCAGGACCTCATCAGTGCTGCAGCGTAAGGGTTGAACTCCAAAGCCTACACAGGTTTTCTTGAAAGTATTTTTAGATAAGTTTACTTGAAACCCTCCTTTTATAATTATGAAAAAACTATTAATACAGTAGAAGAGTTAAGAATCTCACTTTCCATTTCAATCATCTTAATTCTTATTCCAAGAATTTTAAGCTAGCGTTGAAATCCTTTTCTTATCGCACCACAGAGCCACATTCATCTTTAGGATATTTATTGATAATTAAAAATAATAAGATTCCAATCACTCATATAAAAATAATAAATCTGAATAAAGCAACATGACTGTTAGAGGCAGGGAGAGAGATCCTCCTCCTTGGATGTCCCCTTACTCCAGTCATCATGGATCCAACAGGGCTGGAAGGATTTTTCCTGAGCACTGGCCGAATCCCACGCGGAAGCCATTGCCCTGGCAGTAACCTAGGGCCAGAAAACAACAGACAGTTTGTTGTGTCAGGACAGCAGGATTTTACCAGGACTAAAAGTGAATAAAGGCATAATAAAGAGACCAAAAACGAGTGGAAATATTTCAGAAATGAAATGAGGGGTAAAAAAAAGAACACCTGGAAGAGTTCAAGTAGCTCAGGAATATAAAAAAAGAAAAAAGAAACAGAAAATGTTAAACACAGCAATATGCAAGTTCAGCACATATGATCAAAAAGCAAGCAAGATGTGCAATATTTCTGATTTTTAACCTAACCTGCAGCATCATCAAGCTAACTGGTAAGCTGATTCACTGCCTGGCCCAGCCTTGCAATTAATAAAGTAAATCTGGATTCTCTTTCTGCAGCATGAGGACTGCTCTTGGGACATCAGGATGCTTACAGCCAGCAAGATGATCATTAAACCCCCTCAAACAGCAGGGCCTACCCTTGCAGAATGTTTTGCTGGCTAAAGTCAATTAGTTTAGTTCCATGAGAAACTCAGCATCTGACTCAAAATATTCATTTATCCTCTGTTATATAAACAGGCATTGAAGGTTTGCTGACTGCTGCTGAAGTTACCGGCCTGTGACAACATCTCTAACTACAGGACGATTCAATATCTCCCTACTCCTGCGTGATGGGCGAGATGACATTAGGACGGGGATGCCGCAGCGCCTCTTGCTGCCACAGGCCAGCTGAGCTGCTCCAGAAACAGCATCCATTAGCAAAGCTGCAGATGAAGGAGGGGAGAGGCCACAGCCAGGGGCTTCTGGCTCATCTGGGAAGACTGTTCTGGGAAGAAATGGCTGAGGAGACCTACTGTAGCTCTCCACTACAACAGCTGATCAAAGAAAGGACACAAGTGGCATATGCTGTATTTTAAGGAGTGATTTTATAGTTAGAGATGGATTTTCCTACAATAATGGAATACATCATCTTCCCTGCATGTGATGAAAACCAGCTACCTCTGAGAAGCCAAGAGGGAGCTGAACAGAGCAGACCTTAATCCTAATCCCCACCCTTAGCACCGATCAGTGGAAGCCTCCGCCAAGGAAGAGGAGGATGGGTGGGCTCAGGCTGCAGGGCAGCCAAAGGTTTTGCAGCATGAGGACAGACCCTGCCAGCTCTAACCCGCAGTGCAACTCTCACGGCCAGGCTGAAATGAAGTTTTTCCACGGACAGCAGTGTCTATAAGTGCTTGCATAACAGCCTGCCCACAGACACCACCCCAGTATGTCTATCCTCATTTGTAAGCAATACTTGAGTAAGACACTTGCTTTAAGGCTCAGCTCAGTTTCCATTTGTCTCATTAGGCTTCACTGCCAGCTTTCCTTTGAGCGCCAGCTTATTATTTCAGTCCAGTTTGGTTATCCCCGCTGTCAACTACTATTTAGAGCAGTACCAAGGAGCAGCGCATTTAACAAAGCAAGGTCTGTGCTGCCAGCAGCATCGGCCTGAGCAGAGTGCCAAGGAGCTACAGAGAGATTTTTGCAGCCGGCTGCAGCACACCATCAGCAAACCTTCCCTTGCAATGCTCTCTCCCCGAGACGCACTTCTTGGGAAAAATATATTTCTCTCATTTTATGTGTTAGAGCTCTGAAATAGCTCCCACAAGGGGAGCGAGAACACAAAGTTGAAATAGGAGACTAGAAATTATGGGTTGGGCACTTGGCAAGAGCTAATGGCACTGCCTCGGGAGAGGATGCAATAGCACTAGCCCTGCCTCAAGGGTGCCTTAAGGCACTGGACCTGCCATACATCACTAAATAGGAGCAGATCCCAAACTGTCCCAGCAGACAGCCCCAGCAGCACCCGGCTCTCACAAACGGCGCAATGCCCTGCTCACTACAATCACAAACTGTTGCTAGTGTAAAATAGCACAGCAGACCGACTAACATGAGACTGTCCCACTGGGGCAACGGCGCCTTCATCCAGGTTAACAACAACGCCACCGTGCCATCTTTAAAGATTAAAGACATTCAGGATTTAAAGTACTTATTTAAGTAACATAGCTTGTTCTGGGCATGAAGAACAACGTGGGTCATGGTCTAGTCCCATTTGTCCCTCAGCTAGCCACCTTGTGCCAACAGGTCCCAAACTGCAAGGTGCTCGTTGCCTATAAGGATGTCAGCATGTAATGCTGACATGCATGTCAGATGTTTGTAATACCCAACTGCACCCTAATTTAGGGCTCCTGGCATAGTTACTGGAGGGAGACCTGCAACTCTGGAGGGCAGTGTGGTACTCTGGATTGCTGGAGGAGTGTCTCGCTGCACTGAATGTATAGGGAGCCCATGGAGAGAAGCATCAGATGCCGACACATTGCAGCATGAGTAGTTGCTGGGTTGTTGGGAGGCTGAAGGATGTCAGAGGTATTGGGGACTCCTCAGTTTCATCATCTACGGCTCTCTCCAGTACATCTCAATCTCCAGTTGTCTCAGCATCTTCCTCTGCAAAACTGGCAGCGCCTCACAGAAACATGATTTTCAAAGGTACTGTGTAGGCTGCCAGACAGGAGGCACTACCAAAGCTGCTTATAGAGCCATCACTGGGAGACTGGAATACATCCATATATATATATTTTTTTTTTTCCATCACAGAAAAGTTCTTGGGTTTTGTTAAAAAGCTTTCTGAAAAAATAAGACATTTTAGATTGTTTTGGCAAAAATCCTAAAAGTCCTGGTTGGATCAAGCAGGCACAGGTATGTGAACACATACTAGCATCACACCGTCATGTCCTTCAGGTTTCTACACAGGCATTAGTCACTCACATTTTCTCTGCCCTAAGTCACATTTGTGTTTTCTCATCACTTGAGCCATTTTGTTCTCTGTGCAGACTATCTCTGATCACATCAGCATGATGGAGTTGCTCAGAGCCAGGTGTGGCACTGGCTGGGTCTCCTCTGATGATGCACAATGTGCCACGAGATATTAAAAACTCAGCAGGCAACACAGCAAAGACATACGCAGGCTTGAATCAAAAGTTTCTCATGGCTGTTCTTGCCAAATATTTGCCACCCCAAAGCCATAAGGGGTTGACAAGATGAGAGGAGAGGAAAAAATAGATTTGTTTTACACTAGTCTTTTGATTAAAATGAAGTAGGAGTGGGATTTAGATCACAAAAACACCATGGTATATTTTAATTCATAAAATCCTTAGTTTATCAAGATGGAAATTAAAACCATGGCCCAGCATGAAACAGCTCTCAAGCACAGCCCTTTTCAGAGGGGAGCTGGTCAGCTGTTCTAGCAGGCTTCATGCTGCTTCCCACATACTTGATTTGCAACACACTTCATTGAATATGCCTATGTTACAAATGAAATGTTATTTGCAAAATAACTTTTTTTAGCATTTTCCAAGCTCTGCTCCATGTGCAAACTTGGACTGTGGTGGCAACAATACATCACCTGCTTCTAGTCCCAGGATATTTTTGCCCATAAAGGCAAACCTACCTCCACTGTCCCCTTAGCACTCACACACAGGCATAGCAAGATCATTAAGTACCTAGCAAAGCAAATAATGGAGTCCAGAAAGCATTTATTTCAGGGAAATTTCTATCCACCTGCTTTTGTCTCCTGACAGGTAGGATGGAAACAACTGTGTTTGCCTGGCAGGCATGTACAGACTAGCCCATCTCCCTGCCAGGCACTTCCACTACTGGGATCAGTCTGGAAACATCCTTGGTGCAGTGTAAGAGCAGTTGTTTGGCCATTACCTGTCAAAATTATTTCATCTCCATCCTGCAGGAATTTACGAGACTGTCCACTGCCAAGAGGGATTTCTTTTGTTCCGTTCCAGGACAGCTCCAGCATGGAGCCAAAGCTCTCTGGCTCCTGCAGCAAGAGTTCATAAACAAATAAACAACTTTTTAGTATCTGTCCTGCTGTTAAGTTACTTGCTGCTGGAAGTAGGCACACAAGTACGTTAGCACTATAGAACAGAGTTTTGCTGTTGATTTAATTCATTGATATATTGGCTTGTTTTCCTGCCTTTGCATTTTAATTGCTTGCTCACTATAAGCTGTCATGCTTACAGCCATTATCTGGTGTGTTTAACAGTGCTAAACCCTGTAAAAGTAGTTTGGGTCTGCTACAGCAAGAACGGAAACAAATCAAGGGCACTTCTACAAATCCAGTGCTTTTATGTAGTCACGTTTTGGATTTTTATTTACATTTTGTTCTTCAGAAGAGCAAAGCTGGCAAATGTTTGTAAGTCTTTAATGTCAATCTGTAGTACAATAGTTTGAAGAAAGCAAACTTTGGTATCTCAACTTGGAAACAACTTACCTGAGGCTGTCTTTCAGACAGCACGAATAGGATTTCTATTTGATGTTTCAGAAAGTGCAAGTTATCCATATATTGCAGCAACAGTCCATATGACAGTTCAAGGGGAACAATAGCTTGTGAAGTTAGCTCCAAATAGGTAGTATTAGAGAAACTAAAAGTTATACCCATGCACCTTTTACATTCTTCTCAGAACTAAAAAAGCTGCATCTCATAAAGTATAAACGGGCCACATGGATGCTTGCGCATAGAAATGAATTTGCATCTGTGGTAAAACAGTTCTTAGGGGAAGGAGTACAGAAGATATTAAAAACCAAAAACCAGTAACAACAAGAAACCCACCACTTCTTAGTGTGATTTTGGGGTTGCCAAAGCATCAGCCCAAAGTGCCTAGGCAAGAACTGCAGATGCTTTCATGGCTGCTCAAATCAAACAGGGCTTAGACTCAAAGCCCTGCTCAGCTGGTTTTGGACTGCTGACCAGTTCTCAGTGACTGGCGTTATTTAAACACTTACGGGTCCACTGATTGTGCCGGAGGCCAGGAGATCTCCAGGTCTGAGGTTGCACCCGTTGATCGAATGATGAGCCAGCTGCTGTTTCATGGTCCAATACATGTGCTGGAGGAAGGAGGAAGAGGAGGCTAAAGCAATGAAGGACAAACCTCTCTGGCGTGCCATTAGGCTATGCAGAACGTATTGCTTTCTCGGGATGATGCTGGTAAGACTGTCCCTAAAGAAAAGTTTCCTTATTTAATCAGGAACCTTCAGCAGCCTGAAAGCAACCTTCACAGTTACTTAGTGTGGTATTCTCCGTAGTTACTGTGGCCTGGCTGATTGCTTTCTAAATGATGACAAGGAGCTGCTATGTGCATATAAAACATACTTTAACATGCAATTTAGTCCCTTAAAATTCCTCTTCTTTCCGCTGGATGTCATTTCTCCTCTTCTTCCTCTTTAAGGCCAGCACTGCTGACCCAGGATCCATGATTGAGTCTGGTATTTTAACGGCTTTATAGAAAAATCTCCTTATTACTGATTTGCTGACTACTGATTTACTGATTAAGGTAATTACTATGCAAAGAACCAAATGTGAATATAAAATTCATTGAGAAATCCTGCAGCTGGTACATGTACCTCCTGGCTTCAATCAGCCTGTAGAGGCAGAGCCACCATGCTGCCCGCAGAAGAGCTGGGGCAGACCCAGGCTCGGAGCGGTGTTGCAGCAGCAAGTCTGCATCTAAATTACCAGCTGCGACTGCAAAGCTGTATTGCACCTCGGCATGGCAAGAAGCAATTCCCTTTGCCTGCGAGTCCTCCGCTCTCACTGCTCCCTGCCAAAGGAACACCCAACTTATGATGCTATGAGCACCCTAAACTGAGCAGTGGAAAGAGCTGCCCCCTTCTTCAGTGCTTGAGCATTCGGGTGTTTCCATCTCAGTAGGAGTGAACTATCACCACCCTCCACACTTTTCCCTCTGTCCCCTACACCCACACCCACCAGATCTGCTCTTCAGCTAATGCAAAAATCAGTGTTTGAAACTGCCTAAGGCTGAAGCTCATGGCATCAGCAAGATTTCAAGCAAATAAAAGATACTGGAGTCTTACCTTGAAATTGGTTCTGCATATAGTAGTTGGCATGCTCATTCCTTCTCCTGCAGAAAATAAAAAATAAGAAACAGGGAAGCAATTTGTTTGTGTTGGATGAATGATGTTGGAGTCTTTTGATTTTACAGATGGATGGAGACTTCTTTTATCATTGTAATCCCTAGCAAGAAACAAGTAATAACATTTTCTATTGATATGAAGGCCAGAATTTCATAGAAAACAAGCATGTGGATGGCACTGGGGTAGCATCAAGCTGCTCATTTCCTGCTCTCTGCTGTACTACAGGAGCAACACCTGGACCTACCGGTCAGCATGGCCGTGAGCTGGGGGTCTGAGCTGGGTTAACATCTGAATTCCACATACCTCTGCTCTTCCCATGCCCTGCCTACCCCTGCCGATGCAGGCAGACCCCACAGGGACCCTCCTCACGGTAAGCTGATCATCTGGGAGGTATTCCCTCCTTGACACATTGCTGCACAGCCAACGGGGAGCACGAAGAGCTTTGCCTCTTTCTCTGACAGAGGCAATCTGAGCACAGATGGAAGAGGAGGACTGCAGAGCCAAGAGCAAATTGTCTGAAATAGGTGGTGGTTCTGCATCCCTTAATTGGCAATTTCAGCTTTATAACCCACTCAGCATTGCTGTACCTTTAATAGCAACAAAGAGCTTGATGTCGAAAGTGTAGGGCTCTTTGTCCTGAAGGTAGGGCAGCGGCTTGGGATCCTAAAAACGTATAAAAGGCATCACAGTCTAAACAAACAAAAAGGAAAAATTCCACGAGCCATCCCAGTGACCTTCTGTTTAACCAGCATGTGCTGCACTCCCCATTTACTTCACCATTGTTACTGCTCAGATTACTGCTTTGCTTGCTCTCATGCACACACTTTTAAAGATCTTTCTGAACAGATGTGATATCCGTATAATCCGATTCCTTTTTCTGCACATGGGCTCCAAAAGCCCTCTCCATCCTTACGGCGTGGATGTTAATCCAAAATAAATACAGTGCTAGCACACCTTTGCTCTGTGCCTGCACAGAGAAGGTGGTGAGTTCTGTGCAAGACTCTTTATTATCTATTTCAATTTTAACTAAACGTCTACACAATGCAGAAACGCTTGAACAAAGTGTTTTGGCTTGAGTCCACTCCCCCTCCTCTGCTTGCTGGATGCTAAATGCTACCAAATGCTAACAAGCAGCGCTCTGATCAGTTTAGTTTCCAGGTGTTTTAAAGGAGATGATTTTTCTGCCCTGCTCAAGCAGGCAGGATGACAGCCCAGGGTACCATGTGCCAGCGCCAGCGCCATAACGAGCATTTGAACTCAGAGGGCCCAGGATGCCTTCATATGCTTGGAAGCAGGATCACACCTGTAAAGTCTATGAAGAAAGTGCTTGGCATTGATACAGCTCAGTGATTCCTACTGATGGGACCTACCCGTTCTGCTGACATTTTTCTAGCACTGCTTTTCCTTTATATCAACCCTTTCTCTTGCTAACCTGGACAGGGTTTGGCAACACAAATGGCATGAGAGCTTCCATGGTAACAACCCAGGGAGAGATGGTTGTGCCAAAGCTCTTGCTCAGGAACGGTCCCAGAGGAACGTATTCCCATTTCTGGATGTCACGGGCTAGGAAGAGAAAATTGAAAGCAATGCTGTTAAACATATCCTAGGAGTTGTGCAGCCATCACACCTGTGAAAGAGTAACAGCGATTGCAAATGTTATCAGCACCCTTTTCTAGCCATTGTGCCCAAATCCTGATTTAAATCCATCCCTTTCAGACCCTCAAACCAATTTTCTTAGACCAGCTAGATTAGGAAGAAAAGTCAGCAATAATTAAACCAAGTCAGGCCATCCCCATATAACGAGTATTTTTATCCCCAGTTTAGTTAATGCTTTTTCACACAGCTAATGGCCCATGCCAGTCATAAGGCCAATTGCAACCACTTAAATCTATGCAAAGACTGAGGGATTTGTGATTGCCAAATTGTTTCTCTGCTCCTGACACTGAAATCAATCCTCTGTTGGAATCACCATCCTTAGGGCTACTCCATCCCTGCCCAGAAGAAACTAGACTGATATTAGCTCTTTCATAAGTAAATAAATCTTCATTAGGCAGCAATTTCTTGTTCTACCGATTGATCGAAGATGGATTGAGACAGAGCCTGAGAAATACAGACAGCATTTCATTTTCATCCCTTTCAACTGTACCCAGTGGTTTCAATTATCACTAGTCTACTATTAAAATATATAATTTATCTCTATCTAAGGTTTCCCGTGACGCTGTAACCCCCTCTCCAGGCAGACTCCTGCAGCACCGATTACCGCTCCAGTCATTCATAAGGACCATCCCAAAGATGTGCTCCTGGGCTCTGCTGATAGGAATTGGCTCCCCATACTTGTTTCCAGGACCCACAAAGAATGCCTGCAATTGAAAAGCAAAATGTTGATTAAGGAAGTTTTTGAAGCTAAAAATCTTTACTGCACAGAGGGTTACACTCACAAGCAACAGGGACCTGACAGGATGGGATTTTCCATCATTTCCCGTACACAATTAGACAAAACTCATGGCCTAGTCCATCCTTCTTCCCCTCCATGAAGCTGGCAGGCTTGCAATACTTAAGAGCACTGTGTTGCTAAGAGACAGTCACTAAACAAAGGCATGACGTTGTCAAAATGCAGGAGCAAAAATGGTCCTTCCTAATTACAGTCCGGATGCAGGACAGGTTTGCCCACTGAAGTGATTCTGTTTGCTGCAGACAGTGAACAGGAAAGACTTTAAAGTCATCCGAGGGGATGCTGAACGTGGCTGCAGCCTGTCATGACAGTGGGGAAGAGGAGGCATGGGGAGAAATGCGCCCACTAAGTAAAACAGGTCATGAGCTGGGTGCCTGCGCTTGGTCCCTTAGAAAATGTACAGCATGAGCATGTGCCAGAGAATTCCACAGGGAATCTCAGTTGTCTCTTTCTGCCAACAATTTGGAAGTTTTTTCTTCCAAAGCCTTCATTGATCTAAATCTGCTCTCACAGCAGCCTGCGGTGAAACTCAGGCCACAAAGCAGAGGTATGGCAGCACTTTGTGTACCCAACTTTACGGGACTGCCTCCCATTTTATAGCATTGATCTGCAAAGCATACAGCATTAAAGGCTTTCAGTTCATTTTTAGTACCATTTCCCTTAATATTAGACTTCTTCCACTTTTTTTTTTTTTTTTTAAGGGGAGAGATGGGGAATAAATCATATAAAAATTATATAAATCTTATAAATCATAATGAACAAGCCTATAAAACTCTCCCTTCTGGACCACATTAAGCCACAAGAAGACACACCTTCCAAGGATGTTTTGTTACAACACCCACAGCACACTTTTCATCTTTCCAGCCAGAAGGATGAGGCGTTTGAATTGCACTCCCAAGAACGCACGGCTTCCTCCGCTCTAGACTCAAGGTGCAGACAGCCTGTACTTCCAAAATCCCCAGTGTCCATTAAAAGATCCTGGCTGCAGTGCAGAGGTAACTGCTAACCAGATAACAGGCTGTGGTGTCTCATAAAAAGAATTATACCTGCCTGCTTCCAGACTGCTGCACTAGTGCTCAGATTTGGCCAGATGAGCTGTTTCCAGCCTGAAAGCTGTGTTAGCAAACCACTCAATGAGCTAATGCACCCTGCAGCTCGTCAGAAGGGAAGGTTTCCTCCGTAGAAATCTTTATTGCCTGCTGCACAGACTGCTCAGAGGGAAACACAGGAATGGACCTTATGAGACATTCGTTTTAGAAGCAGCTAAACCTACCTTTTCTTCCCTGTTTCTATTTTAATGTTTTTCAAGTGGTAGGGGGAAAAAAGCCCATCTTACCATTTCTAACTCGATATCCAGACGCTTACAAGCACCGAACACTGGAGGTTTATCTGTGGGTAGAAGAAAGAGTATTTTACGAGAGGGAGGCATGAAGGGAAATAAAAGTAACAGCCAGAAGAAAAAGAGCAGCTGATGCTGCCCGGCTTGCAAACACACGATGGACTTAACTCAAGGCTTTCTCTTGCCCTGACCCTGGGCTGTGCTTTAGACAAGGCATCCCAGACTCTTCCTCTCCACTACTCTATGACGTGGAGGAAAAATAAAAAAATAAAAAAAATAAGAAGCCACATTAAAAGCCTACCATGGACTCACCATTGTCAGGTCTCATTTGCCCCACAGGTCTGCGGATGGGTGTCCCAGACACCATGACGGACGATGCCCGGCCGTGGTAACCGACAGGTAAGTGCAGCCTTGCGAGAGAGCATCACAGAGCGCGGGTTAGCTGTGTAACCATCGCCAGCCAGAGCAGCTTTCTGGGGTGGAAGCCCCACGGGGGTGCGAGGTAGGAGGAGAGAGCTCTGCATAGATGGGCACGGACATTTGCACCTTACTTGCTCCGATATAAAGAAGTGAGCAAGCTATAATCCAAAGCCATGTAGCAGTCTTAATGCACTTCTGTGCCACTGCTCCACTTAATTCCTTGGAGCTCAAACCCTGCTTTCTTGCCACTCAGCAAAAAACAATTTCTTAGGTAAATCTGTCTTTGAACCAGCGGGCTGCATCATAGTTGGTGCAGCTGCTGCAACAAAATGCAGTGCAGCCTTAGCTAAGGCTAGAGAAATGGGGTTTTCAGTTCTGGTATTGAACTTTTGACAGTACAGATTCTCACTGGCTATGAACTGAAATCAGTACTTTCCTGAAAGACTACTCAGATCTTTAAAAAATTATATATATGTACAGATAGGCATGCAAAATAATGCTGCACCCGAGAAAAGCCTGAACTACCCACCAGTTAGGCATCAAAGCGTTCTCCTTCCCCCTGAACATGATCCCAACGTTTGTGGCATGTTGGCGTGAAGAATAGAAGTCAGTGTAATCTCCTGCATGAAAAGAAACCCATAAAACAGGGATCAATGGTAGGAAAGTCCCTCATATGCTGGGGCTAAAGCACATCGTACACTGCTGGCAATGAAAGGAGCAGAAAAGGAGAGACAGGGAGAGTGCCAAGCGGAGGCATGTAGCAACATTTAATATTATTAGCACGGGGATGTAATTAATAGCATAAAGGTGGTGATTAACAGTTCATCCATAAATTATGCATACAAAACTGGCCTTTTTTTTTTTTGAGCCTCCAGTAGAGAAGCGAGGTGGGGGAAAGCGCAAGGACACAAAGCAGCCGGCAGCTTTCCAGAGGCGAGCCAAGTCCCGCTGCTCTTTCTGCCTCGCCGGTGGTACCCAGGTGGAGGAATCGGCTCATACGCAGGACATCTGCTGCCCTCTGCTGCCATCCCTGGCAAACAGCTCCCCACCCTTCAGATTAATGGGAAACCGGCGGGGCTGGGGGAAAAACTCAACTTGGGAGGGGGCATTTACATTACGTTAAGTTGTTTTGCAACTTCAGCAAGTTATCTTGCGGCCCCAGCAGAGGATGCAGCCAGTGCTTGCTCTCAGGACAAGCACGAATCAAGCACAGGACAGAGCTGAAGGCAACTGTAGTGGAAACCTAAATACGTTGCAGCTGCGCGATACAGCCAACGTCATGCTGCCCGGGCAGCGCTCTCACTCACGGCACTCACGAGTGGTAGGAGCCAGCAAGTTTTTGACAAGACATATTCAACCTGAAACTATTTGCAGGAAGGTATTGCATCTATGGAAACTCATCACGGTTCCTCTGGGCCAGGCTAGACTTTGTCCCAAACCAGGGCTGCGCGCCCCACGGGAGCCAAAAGCCCAGCGGGAACAGGATTTGGCCGGGAAACGGGCAAGTTCACATCCCTGCTCCCGTGAAGGTCGCATCCCTCAAGCGATTTTGATCAAATTGTTTTGGGTCTAAATATAAATTTGTTAAAAACAAGAAAATGTTTATAGATCTATATGGATACACTTACTCCAAAGCAGTCCATGGCCTCGTGGGAGCAGAGGTAAGATTTGGGATGCAGAATAATTTTCTGGGAGTGGAGACTCATGCTTGTTTATGAGGCTATGCCGGAGTATCTGCCTTGCAAAACTTTGGAAGATCTGAATTATTTTCTGATGGCAAAAGGGGAAAATGCTGGAAACTGGGCAAGTGTTTCTTCCCTGGCTCTATGCACAAAGGCCTCTGGTGATGCCAGTCTGATGACAAGAGTTATACGGCACCAGACAACCCTCAGTTAGTGAAAAAAGCATCCAGGAATTTTCTGGCTGCTATTGAGCTTCCCCAGGCTTTTATTCTTGTGCCACAGACAGCACCTACCTTTCATTATGTACAATAATCTACTTCTGGCTCCTGCAAAACCCATTCCCTGTCACAGCTATGATCTGTCTAAGCAAGCTGGAACGAAAGCAGCGTCTCTGGGCGGGAGCAACGGGCAGCGCTGAGCAGCCCGCAGCTGCGGGGCACTCACCGATGTGGGCTGGCAGGTGCATCGTCGCAGAAGCTTGAGGTACAAACGCTCTGAAATGAAAAACAATGACTTCAGCTCTCAGAAAGCTTGCAGCCCTCACCCAGAAGTGATTTATAAGCATGTAAAAGGCTGTCTCTTTCTCCTAGTTCCTTCCTTAATTTATTTCGCAAAGCCTTGCAGCAAAAAAAACCTTGCAGAAGAACTAAGACAACTGCACAAGCTGCTGTTACTGGGATGGCTACGACCGAACCGAGCACCCCTCAGGGTGCGGGTGGGAAGGGAGGCCCGCGTGGGGCGGGCCAGCTGGCGTCCCGAGGGGCACAGAGAAACACCCCACGGCCATGCAACACAGCGGAGCCGGTCACCGCTGCCTCTGCTGCATGGAAAGGATGATTTTATAGGATGTGGCTCTCGGGGTGCCCGATTTGAACTGCTGGGCCTGCTCGGGGAAGGCGCCCGTGTCAAGCAGCGGTTCAACCCCTCCGCTGCACGCGTGTGCCTAAATCACCCCAGCGAGCCAGGGAGGAACGGCTCCTGCTTGCCGCTGGGGCAGGCGCTCGCGGCGTTTAAAGCATCGCTCCAGACAAGCAAGACGACGTGTGATTAATGGACACACACGTTTTCCGTCAGCGCAGCGTGGAGCAGAGCACCGTCCTCCCCTCCCACTCCTAACCCAGCGCGCTGCCCTGTGGCTGAAGCCAATTTGCGACAAGAGATTCGGCTTTAGCGCAGTCGGGCGGTTTCCGAGGAGCAATTGGAGGGGTCTCCCAGAAGCCACGCCAGGCAGAAGAGGCAGGGCAGTGCTGGGGGAGGTGGGAGGGGTGGAGCGGGCCCCTTGCAGCCCTGTCTTCGTCGAAGGCCGTGGAGGAGGGGGTGTGCTCAGCG